GGACGTTCATCAAAGGCAACTGTCTCCCAGCTGGGAGCGATCTGCTCGAAGAAGTAGGGATGACAGCCACGCACTGTTCAGCCTGTGCACGAGCATGCGCCAGCCAGGGCTCAGCTCTGCTCAGGGATGCATCACTTAAGTCACCAATGCAGAATTAAGCATTGGGAATTTCTTCTTAGACAAGTTTTGTTGAGGTGTGTAAGGTGCAGCAAACTAAAGCTTTGGCACACAGACTGCTTTTCTTTTTTTTGAGGTGTTCAGGTGCCTAAATCTCTTGGAAAAAAACCCCACAGCCAGCGCTTCTGCCTCTTGGAAATGGCAGCGGAAACCATCCTAACGTTAGAACCAGGGATCTGTCAACACAATGCGGTGACTGTGTTCAGCACTGACCTTTCGAGCCCAAATCCCACACGATTTGGCTCTACAAAATGCTGGCTTTTCAATAGTCCTTCAGACAAGAAAAACTGCAAAGAACAGAGCTCCGAGGAGAACGGAGGAGGTTTATTTTCTACTAGGTACCCCGCTCGCTTCTGCCAGCGCCCCAGTTCCCAGGTTATGGAGGATTTTCTGAGAACCGTGGCCGGACACATCCTGCTGTTGAGCTGAGCAGCATACGCAGCATCTGATGCTGAGTGTCCCTGCTCTCCCCAGCTGTGTGCTCCAGCTTCCCGGAGCCTTCCCTCGCATTTTCCCTTTTCCCCTTGCCTCCCCCGCTACGGCGCTTTCCAGCTCGTCATCTCTGATCTTTTCTGAAGTGGAAAGTAAATCAGGGCTAAGTGTCAGACTGTCTCATTTTGAAGACTGATGTTCAAATAAAGGCTTTCCCATCCTACCTTAATAATGTCATTAATGCAGTGTCAGTACAAATATCTCACTCGGTGGCATATGCTGGGGAGGAGCACAAGTGGGAAAGGCCCAAAGTAAACACAGAATGACAGAAAACTATGTAACTGGCCCAAATGGGCTAATTAAATTTCCAGTATCAAAGAACTGTTCTACCCTACTTGGTAACTGCAGGCACTTTTTGCAGGGTAAGGAGAACAGTGGAGTGGGGGGTGCGTATTTAGTGCAACATCATTAGCGGTGCGTAGGTGGAGGGAGGAAGATGGATGACCGCAGAATGGGCAGCACGGGAAACGGCCACAAAAAGTCAAGCAGCTCCAGCCAATTTCCTCAGAAACTGTACCGCGTGCCAGGGAACTCCGGCACCCCGGGGACCTCCCGGCACAACAGCATCGTCATTGCCGACGGCAGGAAAGCCATCCTGCAGGTGAAGCATCTCGTGTCTGCCAGGCGCGGTGACCACCTGTGAGCCTCCCTGCTCCTCGGCAGAGCCTCGAGGAGGCTCTTCTCAGCCCAAAGATTTCCACTCGTGGTGCTCCCAAGTGCTGGAAGGATCTGGCAAACTGCTGAGTGGGTCCGAGAGGTTGTTCCCATCCGGCTCCTGTCAGGGAGGCTGCCTCTCCTTGTGGTTCCTCCATGATCGATCCGGAGCCCCACCACCAGACCTGGCTCTATGGACTTAGAGGGATTCACAGGATTTGAAAAGAAATTAAAAAAATGGCTCTTTTCCAAACACTGCACAGCTGAGGGTGAATATCAGCACGGTAAATATTGTTTTAGAATGGCCAATATCATTTTTAAAAGGTTGTGTCCGGCGAATGTTGGGCGTGTGGATCTAATATTCCTTTGCTGCTTGTAAAATGGACTAATTGGCACTTGGGTATTTACCTTCATCAGCTAAATGGTTACGAACATAATTTTGATTTTTTAATTGATCATGTAAGAATTGTTGCGTAGACGATTGGTGCTTGGACACTCGCTCTGAAATATGCCTCTCTTACTGTGACTCAGGTTTCTGTCAAAGGAGAAGACGAAGCCAGACCTGCCCTCAGCTTTGAAACCAGACATGGGCTCCATCTCAAATCAGAGCTGTATCAGAAATGACACGAACTCCTCTGAAGATCAGTCTTTTTCTTTGTTTGACGTCCATGTTTTGGTGCCCGTGACTATAATTTCCATCATCCTGTTTTTCTTAGGAGTCTCCGGGAATTTGATAACGATAGTCATTTTTAGACGCTCGCGGGAGATGAGGACGACAGTGAACATGTACCTGTCCAGCATGGCGCTGTCGGACACGCTGATTTTCCTTGGCCTGCCTTCAGACCTCTACCGCCTTTGGAAGTACAAGCCCTCCATATTTGGGGATTTTCTCTGCAAGTTCGTCTTTTACCTGAGCGAAACGTGCACATACTGCACCATCCTGCACATCACCACGGTGAGCGTGGAGAGGTACTTTGCCATCTGCTTTCCCCTGAAAGCCAAAGCGACCATCACCAAGTGCCGCGTGAAAGGGATCATCCTAGCACTGTGGGGCTGCTCCCTCCTGACCGCTGGCCCCATCCTCTTCCTCTTCGGGGTGGAACACCCCGACGGCAGCCTGCCCCAGGAGAGCCAGGAGTGCAGGTCCATCGAGCGTGTGGCCCGCACGGGGCTGCTCGAGATGATGACCTGGGTCTCCACCATTTATTTCTTCTTGCCAATGCTCTGCTTGACTCTGCTGTACGGACTCATCTGCAGAAAGCTCCGGCGGAGCGGGCAGCGGCTGCCGGGCTGCTGGGCTGCGGGCAGGAGAAGGTCGCACACGCAGACTGTCAAAATGCTGGGTAAGAGTATTTTTAGAAACCCAATCTGAAGAGCTGCCCTCTTTAATCACTCCCATAGGGCATACAGCAATGTGGGGGACGATGGAGAGGAGACACAAACCACGCAGGGTTACACAGCTTTAAAACCAATGGCTTTAGACTTAATTTGTGTTCCTGGTTCTTTCTGGTAAGACAATGAGTCCCCGGCTGCACGGCATTTAGGCTAGGGATCTTACTGCACGGTGGGGAAGCAGGCTTTTGGTTGTTTTGAGATCACATTCCTCAAGTCCCCCTGGCCCTTAAATTTCCAATTTAAAAAAAACTGGAAAATTGTGTGACTTAAAACCGAACCAGGCTCTTCCTCTGCTGTGGCAAGGCCAGGTTTTAAAGCAATATCCCCTGCAAAATTTCTCAAGCTCAGTGACTACGGCTTTCTCCAGAGTGGCAACAACCCATCTGTTTGGGCTTACCTGAATGTGATCTTTATCCTGTGCCAGCTGGTACCTGTGCCTTGGTGCAGATGCTGAAACCGGGAGGGCTTGGGTCCCCTCCCTTCCCCCCCATCCCTCCCACGCCCCCCCTCTCCCCCAA